TGTATATTAGGATGACAAAACATATCTAATAAAAGTAACCATTTTATCTTATAGTATATCTGGTGACATTGAGAATACGACGGAAAAGGATATAAGTCTTTTTATTGGAAAAATTTTTCAAAGTTAGGATTATGTTTCAAATTTCATGAAAAAATACGCCACTACTAAAGGTCACGGAGTGCGAATTGGTGGTGATGGGAAAGTAAATAAAGCAAAAGAAGTAATTAAGCGAACTTATTTGTGCCGGCATGCTGGATAAGCAAAGTCTAATCAGACAGCAATTATGGAGAAACAGCATTCAAATACGTCCTCATGTAGAATTGGATGCCTGTAGAAGGTTAATATTTAGAACAAAAAAAACAAAGGCCATTTGGAAGTTACAACTTTACATGATTAGCATACTGGTCATGAATTTCACCTATTAGCAGTTCGATTTGTTCTAACATTGCGCAAACTACCAGAGGAAGTCATTGAAGAAATTCATTTTTTAACCGTCGTTGCCAAAGTAAATGCAACCATTCAATATAGAGTTATTAGAGAAAAGTTCAATATTAGAATTATCTGACAAGATCTTTATAATACCATAAGCAAGTTTCGTCGTGAAATAGCATCAGGTGAAGCAGATACAGGGATTTTACTAAAAAGACTCTATAGCAAAAAAATGGAGGACCCACGTTGGGTAATTTCAATGAAGCTTGATCTGGATAATTCTTCTTTAACTCATCTTTTTTGGATGAGTCCCGAACAATACATTTTATGGTTGCGCTACCATGACATAATAATGCATGATAACACTTGTAAAACCAATCACTATGATCGTCCTTTGTCCCTCTTTGTCACCCCCGATAACAATTTGAAAACGCGAATTGTGGCCCAAGCAATTGTTGATGATGAAACTTAACTTTCATATGAGTGGGTCTTTTGATGTGTGAAGGAAGCAACCGGTGTATCTCTGAAGGTGTTTGTTATGGATGGCGATCTAGCAGTTAATGGTGCGGTCATGACAGAATTTCCCAATACTTATCATATATACTGTATATGGCATATATGTCAGAATTTACCCAAATGACTAAAAGGAGAGCTTGGTTCTAGTTTTAGTGACTTTATGAAGGATTTTTTTAAAATGAGAAATAGCTTAACGGAAAAGCAATTTAATGAGAGGTGGAAAATGTTATTACAAAACTACCCAAAATCAAAGGACTATTTAATTCGTTTCTTAGGAAACAATCCTTAATCATGGGCTCGCGTGTTCACAAACAGATATTTCACTGCTGGTGCGCAATCAACCTCTTGTAATGAAGGTGAAAATTTGACGTTGAAAAGGCTTCTTAGGAACTCTAATATTTCACTATGCGAATTATTTGATGCCTTAGAAGAAAGGTATTAAGAGGAGAGTGATTATTGTGAGTTTGTAAATTGGAAGCAAACGATATCACAAATAGGACGTCAAAATACGGCAAATGCTATTTTTGAATCAGTAATAGAATAGTTAAAAGAGTTTGTAACGCCAAATATCTTGAAGAAGCAAGAGGAGCAAATGAGTCTAAGTCTTTATTATCATGCTACAGAGGTTGAGCTTGAAGTTGTTCTTTCTAAAGAGCAGGTAATATATAATTAATCTCAGAGGTGAAAATTCTCATGAAATAAGTTTCTAATTAAAATCTTTCTTATTTAGGTACTTGACGAATCCGACCAATGTATTGAAAACCTATTTGACTGTCCATAAATACAATTAGGTTCATTTCTGAAGGATACATCGACAATTATTGAAATTTGGGAGATATTTTACTTAACGAATCCAAATACATCGCATTTCATATATCTTCTAAATGATGGAACATTTCTTTGCACCTGTATGATTAACAAAACTCACAGTTACCCATGTCGTCATTTTTACTATTTAATGACTCTTACGCCTGTTGCAAGGTTTCACATTGGATTAACTAATCGACGTTGATATAAAGATATGTTACAAGAAGCTGATGTGTCAAATAATACATTTGTGGTGATTTCTTCTTTAAATATATCAACATTAAAAGCAGTTTCTTTGCCAACCTGATTTTTATATTCAACAAATGGGTCTGATGTTCAAGTTGAAGGACTTGCTGCAGTAGATAATGAAATATCTAAATCCATCTTAAAAAAACATAAGTTTGGTGAACTTTGGGGATTAGGAAGAAAAGTGATGGTTGACGCAATTGAAGATGATAATGAGGAAAATTATTGCGAACTTCTTAGAGTTTTTTTATCGATTCAAAAAAAGTCACAACAAAGTATCATTAACAATAATAATATTGGCAATAATGATAATGGCGATAATGATAATAATAATAATGGTGATATTATGGATAGTAATATTATGAATATTCGAAATCCAATTATACAAAGATCAAAAGATCATCCCAAATCTAAAAGAGTCAAAAGTTTCTTAGAGCAGTCTAATATAAGGTCAAGTAAAATTCAATATAAGTGTAAAATATGCAAACAAAAAAGTCATAATAGTAAAACTTGTAAAGAGCAAAACAAAGAAAATAATGACGATAAAAGGTAAATTTTACTTTACTTATCAGATTTGTAACTAGAAAAGGATATATATAACATAATTTATACAAAAATAGCGATGGATATTATTGAAACAAAGGTCAAAACTTTTTGATGGGATTTTTTTTTTAAAAAGATCAAAGTGTTGTATTTTTTTCTTTTTTTTTCATTTTTTTTACGAAAACAATTTACATAATTGGTAATTTTCTTGTAATAAAATTATTTTATTATATGATGTATATGACGTAATTAAATTATTTATTCCGAAAAATTTTTTAATAAATCACATGATTAGGTCGCCAAATATTATCTAATTAAAAAATATATATATTGAGTCACGTGACTAATATATATGTCACGTGACTTAGAGGATCACCATGGCGATCGGGTCACCAAATATCGTAGCCCTATTTTTAATATTATTATTATATATATATATTAAATCTCGAGCATTCCAATTATTAAAAAAACACATCCTAAAATGATCACAATATTTGCATTTGATAATTTTTCTAGTCATGCAAAATTGGCTGATAATACTCTTAATGTAGCAAATATAAATCTTAATCCTAGTGAAAAGCAATCAATTATGCATGATACTATTTTTAATAGATAAGTTTAAAGTATGGTATTTTTTGCTGATTATTCAAATGAAAAACTTTATAGAAATCTAAAGGAATGAAAATAATTTTATAAGAATGTGGTTTATAAAAACTAGAATTAAAAGAATTTTGTGGTAATAAGAAGTCATTATTAGAAAATCCAGAATATTATACATGTCATATTTTAGCAATTCAAGATTTTCTTAATCAAAAACTAATTTTACAAGAAGTTATTGAAAGTTTAGAATATAAAGTAATTTTTTATCCAAAATTTTATTGTGAACTTAATTATATTGAAATGTATTAGAAAGCTACAAAATGATATACTTGATAACATTATAATTATACTTAGAAAGGATTATAAGAAATAGTTCCAAAAGCATTAGATTTAGTTTCTTTAAATTATATGCGTAAATATGCTCAAAAATTAGCAAAATTTATGAAATATTATAAAAAGGATTAACAGATTTGCAGGCTATATATGTTTTAAAAAAAATATAAATCATATAGAACTGTTTCAGATTTTGTTTTTGAAAATATTGATAAATTAATAAAATAAAGTTTTTCTTACAGTTTAAATTTTAATCAGATTGTAAATTTTAAATTTATTAAATTATATTAGTATAGAATATAAATTTTAGCCAATTACAAATTAGTATTATATTTATCACGTAATAATAAAAAATTTTAAATTTGAAACATACTTGTTAGTTTTTTATAATATATATTATACAATATTTTATAGTCAATTTATACCTATGCTTTAAGAAATAATATTTATATGTGATCATGTTTTTTATCATAAATGTTTTTTTAGAATAATATAATAACTGTAATTATTATTTAAAATTCTATAAAAAGATGTTATTTAATATAAAATTTCATATAAAAGATTATAAAAAGATAATAATATTTATATAGTCAACTCTTATTATAACAAATTCTATATCCTAGACCTCAACTTCACTATAAGGCTATAGTGAAGATTTTAAGAGATTTGATTGGCCAGTTCGTTATAATAAGAGTATTTTTACTATATTTGTTCAAAAAATTCATTATATTAAGAGTTTGCTATATCAAGAGTTAACTGTAATAGTTTATTAAATGATGAAATATAGATAATAAAATAAAGAAAAAGAAGAAATAATAAAAAAAAAAAATATTGATAAGCTTTAAAAATGCTTTAAATTTGATAAATTATAAATTATTAAATAAATATATTTTAAAATTAAAATTTTAGCTTTATTTAATTTTCTTTATAGCAGAAATTCTTAGTTCTTTTTATTCAAATATAAAGAAAAAACATATTAATGCAAAAAAAACTGTATATCAATAAATTAATTTTTTGAAATATTATTATATTTTTTTTTATTACTTGAAATTAAATATTATATAATATAAAAAAGATTAATATTTGATTTTAATCCTTTATAATAAAATAAATATATATTATGCTAATTATAAATCTTTACAATTTTTCTTTAATTTTCTTTTATTTATTTAATTTTCTATGATCTTTTACAGCAAATTAAAAATACAAATAATGAAGGAATAAAAGGTATATATTATTTGATTAAAATATCATAGAATATTTTTAAAAAAAATGTTAATTTTTTTGACTGGTTGAATTATTATGTACAGTTGTATGTTACGGCTTCTTTAAATCAATATGTTTCAAATATTGATCATGAGATATGGCGCAAGAGTGGTACAAATACTAATATTGCAGAAGCGGCTCATGTTATGGTAAATAAAGAAGGAAAACAATTAAGTTTATTAGCAGCAATTTTAAGGTTAGTGAGTTTCATTATAATTTTCTTAAATTGTAAATTTAATATTATAAATTCATAAATAATTTTTGTAATTAAATAATTTTAATTAATTTTAATAGAGGAAAAAGATATGATGAACGATGTTATAAGACAATTGATATTCATGACAAAACAGGAGTCCCTCGTACTCATCAAGATAAAAGTGAAGTCAAAAGAATGCAAATATCAATAAAACGCAAAGGTAAGTAAAATTATATATTTTTTACTAGTTAATTTTATATTAAAGATTCTAATATTTTTTCAATAATATAGAATCTCATACTCGAAAATACAGTATTGATTTGACAAATGATAAATCGCCATTAAAGAAAAAAAAACTCTCTTCTACCATTAACAAAACTAAGCAAAGAAAGACAAGAAGATTCTGCATCAGAAAATGAGGAAACAATATTATCTATGACTGATCATGGAAAGATGCTTGAATTAGATATTGAAGAGAGAAAGATGAGGTTGAGGGAGCGTGAAATTAAAGCAAGAACAGCTGAAGCAGAAGCACGACTTATAGAAGCTAAAGCTGAAGAATTGGAATTAGAAAATCAGAGAAAAAAATATGAGAATGAAATGGACAAATAAGTAGTTTTTTCTTTTCAATTTATATTTGTAGCTTTGCGATAAAATAAACTAAACAAATCATGCGCTATTTTGTGTAATAATAAAAAAAATAAATGAGGCAATTTGTCAAGTCGATCGTTGATTGTACATTTAAAATTTAAAACTTTCTATTGGTTAATTATAAATGTATGGATCACATGAATTCGCAATCCATACAATCATACACAATTATTTATTATTATATATAAGAATCATGTATTGATGTATGAACGAACCATACATTAGCATACATTAAGTTAAAAAATAGCATAAAGACATACATAAACATCCATACCGTCAATTTTTGTATGATTTTTCCATACCGGTATTGAATATTTGTATATTTAATAGATTAAATTAATTATAATTTCATCGTCAGATATATTTTCAATTATCTTAAAAAATGATCGGATTTGATTTGAATACAAAGAAAAATAATAAGTCGCGTTGATAGTCGTTTGTTTAATTCATTATATTATAATGAGTAAATAAGGTGTTAAGTTTAAGAAAATTTTTAAAAATTAATTAAAAATTTTGCATTTATCAAATTGAAGAATTTAATTAATCAAATTAAAAAATTTAAAAACTTTATTATTATTTATAAATCCATACATGTATGGAAATATATGTCATACAAACCATACATTCCATACATAAAAATCCATACCATACATGATTGCTATATACCCCAAAAATATGATCGTCCAAATTTTTGTCGAGTTATGTATATCAAATATCGGTCCATAAGAAGGCGCGTTCAGATTGACGGAGCCCTAAATATACGAATATACATTTTGAAATATGAGACATCAAAAGCGATAGGTTTAATATGTTCAAGAATACGCGTTCTGTTCGTTCAAAATATAATATAAAATAAATCATCGTTAATTTCGGCGCAGCAACCTAAATCACGTGACCGGACATCTTTTTTTTAAAAAAAAAAATTTTTTTTTCTTTTTACTCCCTACCATCCTTATCATGTAATAATAAACTACTATCAAAGTTAGATATAAGATATTTTAAAGGATATTTTAAAATTACTATGAACACTAAAATTTTATTAATATTCTGGAAATAGGAAAAGACTTTCGCGCGATTGGAAAATTCGGAATAAGTCTCTTTTAATCTCGCCACTGTAAATGAAATTTTCATAAGACTTGTAATTCGTAAAATAATACGAGCCATTATGTTTATTTTTATCGAATTGGATTTATTTATATTTGTCAAAGAGGTGTAGCCTCAATGGAAATCAAAACCATTAATATTAAATTTTGTTATTGTTATTTTAAAAGTATTTTCCTTGATCATAATTGAATATGCTGATAGTTAGTACTTTTCGAAAGGAACAATTTCATGATGATTTTGATGAGAGAATTTATTGCAATTTGGTAATTATTTAAATTAAAAAAATAACAATTGTAATTTTAAGTTCTTTTATTATTTTGCTAATTATATTTAACATAATTTTATGTTTAAAGCATAATTGTTTTATAATAATCATACATATATTTCCTTAGATGTATCCAGGAAGCCGTTCTTGTTGAAAGGATTGGAAAGAAATTGTCTAGTCGCAAACAAAACAAAAACTGTTGAATATCAATATCCTTGAGTATTGATGACTATTCATTAAATGGAGTTACCCCGATTTTTTTTTTTTGAATATTTGATATGATGAAGTATCTAAATGGATTTTAGTTGCCTTGCACTAGTACAAGTAAGCAATAAGTTTTGAATTTGGTAATATTGAACATGAGTTAATAATTGTCTTTCAAATAATTAAAATAATTTAATTTTAATTTTTTTAATTTGATAATTTATGTTAATGAAAAAGGATATGATATATAAATCTTCTGAACAAGGAGATCA